GATACCTAAAACGTTGCTATACGCGTTGAAGTTTACTTTTCAGTCGGTAGACTTCGCAATCGACTCGTATAACAATATTATTATAATTCTTAATTTTTTTTTCTAGTTTTTAAAATATTAATAATTTTATTTTTTTACTTATAAAAATACTTTTCTTTATTTTTTTTTTTTAACAAATTTTTCAATAATATTAAATGATAAAAAATTTAATCTTATTAATTCTTATTTAATTATTAATATCTTTTACTTAAAAATAATTATTTTAAATATTTTTATAACTGCTTTTTAATTCTAAATTTATATTTTCATATTTATAAAAATCTTATTATCATTTTGCCTAATTACATATATGTTAATTCAATTTTATTTAAAAAAAAAAAAAAAAAACCTGATTTATCAAAGATGAAACAACCCTTATCGTGTAACATAAATAATATAAATGCTGGGGAGAATCAATCTAAAATGTAAAGGAGGAAAACGTCCACGTGATGAACATATGTGGTGCAACGAATCATTCACCTTTCATTCCATTGATGAGAATGCGGATGATCTTAACTGAAAACGGTAAAAATTTCATTCAAAAAATGCGAACAATATCGATCATCTATCTGGGCTTATTGTTTCATAAATTAAACCAATCATTAGATCTATAAATATTTGTATAACACTGTTATTTGTTAGGCTTTTTACGCAAAGGCATTTATAAGACCCCACAACCCTGTTCTCGTTCATATATAAAAATTTTCTAACAAACTCATATAAAATGTCTCATAATAAATTTAATATACAGCATCTTCCGTATGAAGTTCTTCAACAAATTTTTATACTTTCAGGCAATCCGACATTTGCTTTTGTATCACGTTTATTTCATAATATCGCAACATCTCAAACGAGTGTGAAAACTCAATGGCTTTTACATAAATTTAATTACGATTACACTAAAGCATTATATCGTGGCTTAAAATGGCGATTCTTTAATAAAACGATTTTAAATCAATTAGACTCGTTTTATTATTTATCTAAATTAAAGAGGGGCGAAAATAGTTCAGATGAAGTAATTCAAGTAATTCCGTGTAAAGATCGTACCATCCCTCAGTGGTTCTTCAGCGTTCCCGATCCGAAAGGTACATATTACGAACTGGTAAAAATTCTTCTCGAACGTGGCGCTTCTCCTAATGAATCTGATGGTTATCCAATCATCAAATCTGCTCAACTTGGACGAATCAAGATGGCTAGGCTCTTGTTAACCTTCAATGCTAAACCTGGTATCAAGGATAACATGGCTTTGAAGGTGTCCGCAAAAGAATCTGATTTTGTCATGGTCAATTTGTTGATAGAACGCGGTGCAAAACCTGATTCAGATACTTTGAGGATAGCTGTGGAAAGGAAAAATTGGAATATGGCCGAACTATTGATTAAACATGGAGCTACGCCTTCTCCTGATGTTATTGCCGCCTTTGAGAAAAATAAATGATAGCTTTAAGGTTATTTATTTTCTTAATATTTGTAAAAATGAAGTTTTATTAATATGTAAGATAAAAAAAAAATTGTGTACAAAGTTATATTTCAAATGATATAAATTTAGAATGATTTTATAGTATTATTTTGCAAAATCAAATGTTTCCAATGGGATTACAACTACAACTGATCGCACGCATCGGAAAAGAAAAGACAGAACCAATGGCTAATCCAAGTACTAGGCAAAAAGACATAATAGTTCCCGCTAAACCTTTATTAACGCCTTCAACTTGTGGCGCAGCCATCATCGTTAATGAACCCATGTAACCGTTAGATACCGCAAATAACCACAAGGTTAAAAAATAAATTAAATCGCTGTTAATCATTAATGGCCAGGTTCTTGTTCCATATGAACCAACATCAACATTGCACATTAAGAAAATTGGAAAAAATATAATACGTGCAATCGACATGAGTGCAAGTTTTACAGAATCTGTTGTGACAAATGATTGTAAAGATGGTAAACTTCGACCAAGCCAATCTCCAATATTAAATATCAAGAAATGTAAAGGTATAAATAAATAATCTTGACGAAATTTACTCTTGTTTTCTTCATCGACAACTGATTTGATAGATGTAGTGATTGACGGAAAAAGTGATAAGGTCACAAAGAAAACGAAACCCACCGTAAATGCTAGAATACGGATTTTATTAAATGTTTCCTTAAGTAACTTCTGATCATATGTATTTTCGACACTTTCTGCATTCTGTATCATTCTGACTTGTATGTAATGTAGATAAAGAGGTAAGCGAATCAGGATAAAGTAAGATATTAAAGTAACGAGAGAAATTATGGTAGCACAAATAAAATATAAAAGTGCACTGCGACGTAAATCGTTTTCGTCTAGATTTGATGATGGTGGGATCATCAAAGCACTAAGAATTTGAGAAACTGCGATTGCTGACCCGGCAAAACCTTCATGAAAAATAAAGTTTTTAAAGATGTCTCTTACTAAATAACAATATATTTTTAAAAGTTACCTTGACCGCTTCGTAATAAAATTCAATGAGAAATAATGTTAGTCAATCAATAATAAAGCATATGGACGAAAAGAAATTACTCCCTTACCTCATGACTGACTGCGTATAAATAGGTGAAAATTGTGAAACAAGAGCGAAAATTTCATTTTGCTGTAATGCAGCCGTTGCACCCATAATACCAATCGATGTGACAACAAAATAAAAATAAATTGTGGGACCAAAGAACTCAATATAATGAGTTGATATTGCAATTAATACGAAAATGGATATCATAAGCGAAATTGCAAAGGTAATTCGAAAAGAAATATTTTCCTATTATATTATAAAGTTAATGACAAAAATAAATTACGTTGACTTAAAGAGGATTGTACTCACCGACTTATGAGTAAGCAAAGCAAGTCCGAGAAAAAAAAGATTCGAACTCATATATACGATAGAAAAGTAGTTTTGAAAATTATCTGCAAAACCTGACCCAAGAAAACTCTGTTGAAAGAATACAGAGGCATTAATGAATACTAAAATAAACATAGTAATGATATATTTATTTACATTCTTTCTTTATTAAAAAAACCAAAATATTAAATATTTTATGCCATACCGTTCCATCCTAAAAGCATTGCAACACCCTGTAATAAAAATATCAAATATACAACTCGATAATTATCTTCGGGAGGTACTTGTTGTATTGTATCCTCTTCGCTTGTCTCCTGTGAAGAACGCTCATTAATCCCAGAAGTCGGTATAGGAACGTATGCTTGTTCTTTACGGCCAAAAGCATTTTTTAAAAAACGAGAAACTTGTGAGTTCGACATCATTCATCAAATTTACTCCAAAAAGATCAAAAATGCTTTCCATAAATTGACCGGTTTGTCCATAGAAATTCCATGGAAATTTCGCGGAACTTATCTAATAAAATTTTATGAAATAGATTTTTTTTTTTTTAAAAAAAAAAACCCATTAATAAAGAGATGCGGGTAAATTTTTTATGGGTCAAAATCAGCAATCTAATTATATAATATGAATATAAATTGCTTTCATATTATCATTAATAGCCCTTAAATTATTTAAGTATTTATTTAACATTAATACAAGTCATGAATTAAAGGAAAAATTAATTAGACTTTACAAAAGCAAACAAATGAAAATAAAAATAAAATAATAAGAATAAGGATAGTTATCGAAATTAAAATAATTTAACCTTTTCGCATACGATTACCTAATTAAGAAAATAAATATCAGTAACATTTACAACATTTACGTGATAACAAAATATATATGTATAATTAAATATACCCCATCCACGAGGATTGGCGTCCTTGAATTCATCCCATTCTCGTGCTTTGAGCGTTTCTTCGTCTATAGCATGCTCATCGTTATCATCAATTTCTTTATTCTTCGGTGTTTGTCTAATATAACATTATTATTTAGAAGGATATATAAAAACTTCACTTCCAGATACCTGAAGTTGACTTCTTACCCTCCACCGCTTATGATATTGCCTCGTGCTGCTTCTTGCTCAAGGTATTCATCAATGGTCATTGTTGGAAGACGCCAACCTGGTCTAAAAACTTGTTCTCGAATCGCTTCGCGTTGGTTTGTGATGACAAATGGTCGAAGCGGCTATATTTTAAGTTGGAATGAATTGATGAAATTTACAAATTTCAAATAAAGTGATTGCACTATGAATAAGTAACTTTACCTTTCCATCTTTTGTCAATAACGGGCCGCTTGAACCTTTGGAAATATTGACCTTATTATCATTCGCCAGACCTACAAAAGAACTAGGTCCAGATTGTTCTTGAATTTTTCTCATTTGATCAAGTAATTCAAATTCTTGTTTAATTGAAAATAATTGTTCCATGGATTTGTGTATGAAGAGGTCAATAAGGATCAGGATATATTTGCGACTAAATTCATCCTTGTCGTTGTCTCCAATAGAAGGCAAACGTTGTTGTAAAGTCTAAACCGATTATTGTAAACGATCTCAAAGATTAGCAATTTCCACAAAAATGATTGACAGATCAAAAGGTATATGAATTACCTCTAACTTCATTTTAGTCTCTTTCTCCCTCTTATATCGTGCTATCTTTTCTTCACGCTTCTTTGCAGCATTTTTTGTAGTTCCATTAGACTGCTCCTCAATAAGTTTTCTGTCCTTAATTATTATTATTGAAGAAGTTGTATATATTAATAATTGAAAAGGTCCAAATTAGATAAGATGAAACTAACCTCTTCTTTTAGTATTTCATGCAATTCGATGTTCCGTAAAAACTGTTCAAAGTGTTTCTATTATAACAGAAAAGAATATGAAAAATAAATTAAAAGAAAATTGACGAAATATTTTTGAAATATAAGTTCAATACAAACCTTTGACTTATTTAGTATTTGCATTCGATCTCCGTCGGCTAATTTAGTCGTTAGATCACCAAGATATGCTTCAACTAGAAGAAATCTATGTATTCGCATCACATAAATTGATTCAAAATAATGCTAAAATTCTAATTCGAACGTGTTCCACTTTTTTTATATCTTGCCTTAAATCTCCGGTATTAATGTCTTCCACCGTTTCGTTTGCGCTAAAAATACTTAATTTATCCGTCAATTCCGCGCATTTTATGAAATGTGTGATTGCAATTTTAACATCATGCTAAAAATTTAATTCTCACTTTTAATTTAGAGTATATTAATTGGCATAGAATTAGTATGTGATAAATGTGATAAATGCCTGATATAACGGATCAGACGAAGCAAGGCTTGTGGTTTCAATTCTGTTGTAAAATTTCTGTCCCAAGAGAAATTCATCCGATAATGATTTTTCTGCTGTCATTTTTTGTTAGTCGCGTTATTTATGAACTTGTTCAAAAAGAAAAGTTTGTTGAACGAAAAGTGTTGATCTAATCTACATCGAATACAAGTACACGTGTCACAATGTGTCACACCTAACATGGCGTTCTTCAATTCGTTGATCCTCGGTTACACAGTATTTTGCTGTTACACATTCACACATTTCAGTAAACTAAAGCTAAGCCACTTAATTTGATTTATAGATATGTTAGTTCAGATATAAAATAAATTTTTCATTGTAAATTATGAACCGTTTTATCTTAGTATTTAGTTTTGACTTGGCACTTTTTTTTCCTCTTACCTATGAACTACAGAAGTGAAATAAACAAAATGCCAGCTTCAAAAACTCGAAAAGCTCCTGAGAGGCCGACAACACGAGCTTCTACGAAAACAGCACATGCTAGCGGTATAAGAACTAAAAAACTTGTTACCCTTTTTTTTTTTTAAAAAAAAAAAACAGTCTTCCCTTATGCTAATACCCTTTATTCACTTTTTTTTCGCTAAAAGGTGACATTGCGGTTAAGCAACGTTTAAGGTCCTATCCAAACGTTACACCCTCGTCTACCGTTTCTCCTGCGACAACGCGTGCGAGTTCTGTTGAATCCGCGCGGGAAACAACCCACCGCAAAGCCTCTTCACGAACAAGCACTCGCTCTTGCCATAACAACAAAAACGATGGTGTAGTGACTCGGCGGTCTACTCTACAAAAGGAATGCACGGGTAATTTTCATGAAGTTAACTTTTTTTTAAATATTTACTGGGCTTACTTCGTTTTATACAGTCTAGTTCATAACTCGACATTTTTGAGTTTATTAACTTTTATGTTACTTCATACATACAGAAGAAAGTGAAATTATTTTCGAAAGCCATTCCTCAGATGACGAGGCGTTTATAACTATGAAACATAACTACAGAATACAAAAGCGGCGTGCGGATGAAATTGTTATTCAGTTTAAATCACTAAAAGAGAGGTAAAAAAATAAATCACTTTAATATAGTTTCAATATGTATTTTATAGGTACATTTTTTTTAGAAAAAAAAAATTTTTTTTTTTTTATTATGCTTATCCACAGGATGTTTATTTCAAGGTTAAATGATCTTGATGAAGATAATAACGCAATACAAGAAGGTTGTCATCCAAGATTATCAAAACAAATGGACGAGATTGAAGAGAAACATAAAGCTCTTACACTAAGAGCAGAAAGACGCCGTGAATATCATAAAAATGCGATAGAAGCTGCATACGCCGCGACGGAAAAACAGATACGAGACGAATTTCTGGTAAGTTTTCAATATTCAAGTCGAAAATTCATTATGCAACAATATTTACTCTTTATATATAATTTATATTTATGATATAGAATGACCGTCATAAATTGAGGACAATGATGATAGAAGAGCTGGAGAATAAGAAAAGCCAACTTAAGAGAGAATATTATAGAAGTAAGTATTTTTATATATATATATATATATTTTTAACCCCCCCCCCCCGTGTAAATTTAGTTAAAATTTTTCCATAATCTTCATCTGAAACTGTTATATTGCTTTCTAATTAATAGAACCTGAGGATAATCTGCTGGATTTGGTAATGAAAAAGATTGAGGGTACACCATTTGATCCTAATTATAAGATTTTTAATAAGGGATCAGATACTACTCGCATATCTTTCCCTATTAAAAATCGATCATCAAACGGACAAATGCGTACACCAAGATCTAACATTGATATTCAATATAGTCAATTATTTAATTTAAATATCCTTTATTATTATACCTTTTATAACTTTTTTCCAAACTATCTATCTTTGTTGTATAATATTCCTTAACTCTCAGTACATTTCCATCCGACAGGGACTAATGAAGAAGAAATGGCGGAGGATTTGATGGCAATGCAGTTGTGGAAACCGGCAAGACTTCCGCCACTGCCATCATCATCGAAATTTCATTCCACAACTCAACCAAATCCAAATATAATTTCTTCCACTTCTAATGTTATCATATCCCCGCCTCGACGGAAAAAAGAACCCCGTACAAAACGACCTCGTCGTAATTCCAATCGAGAAAGTGTTTCAGAAACACGTAGGGAAACGCCTCTTATTTTAGCACCTAAAGAGTTTCCAAAGACTTCTTTAAGAGAAACGTCCAAAGTTTCTAAAACGATTCACAGAGATATACCTAGCGAGTTACTTGGCAGGGAAACATCAAAAGAGTTGCCCAGAATAACATCAAAAGAAACTCTCAAAGATATCGGTTTGCACAGGGATGCCAGAGAAGTATTTAGAGAGGTAGTTATAGAACCGCCTAGGGAAATAGTTAGAGAACCACCGCGAGAATTACCTAGAGAAATTCCAAAAGACTTATCTACGAGCTCATCGCAAAATCCAAATTCTATTATTGTTAGTCGGTGGCTTGCTGAAGAAGGCACAGAAGAAGATAATGATTCAGACCAATAATAAAATAACACACTAATAATTGCTTTGTAAATAGATAAACAAATAATGTATTTTAGGAGTTTAACTTAAATACTTAATGGGAGAAGTCATGTAGGAAGGAATAAAATTTAGAGGTATTATAATTTATTCACTTTTTATTAACAGAGAGAAAGAGAAAGCTTGTAATATTATTATATTTAAAGTCTTAAAAAGACAAAAAAAAATGTGGTCTTTGTTTTTGGGTATAAATATTTGTATTATATATATATATATATAATATAATAATTATTATTATTATTTTTTTATTTTTTTTTTTTATTTTTTTTTTATTTTTTTTTTTTTTTACATCAAAGCATATTTTTTTATTTTATTTTTTTTTTTCCTTGGATATGGCTGGTTTTGAAAATGAGTTTTGACTCCAACTTTTGACAATAATGAATTAATAAAAAAAAAAAAAAGAATGAAATCAACTTCTAACATGATGTAGTATCAAAAAACTATCGACTGCAAAAATATTTAGCGAGAAAAACGAATCGGTTTAAATTTTTTAACGTTTTACCTACTTACTTTATTCACAAAATTTGACCGGGATTTTGTTAGATTTAAATCTTGCAAAACGATTAAAAATTTCCATTTTATCGGCATAATGCATTACCTAATATTATCCCAACCTAAGAAATTTGAAACCGAAATTACAGATTAATTAATAAAATATTATATATAAAGAATATTATGATTATAGATTAAATATTATATTTATAAATAAGGTTATTAATTAAAATTTAAAGGTTAAGAATCACCTAAATCATAAAAAAATAAAAAATTATAATAATAATATATAATTAATATTTTTATACATATAAGAGTTTAGCAAATTATCTAAATAATAAAATTTATAACAGTTATAAAAATTTCAAAACCTTAATAAAAATTAGTAATACTAAATAAATTTAAAATAAGTTAAATAAGCAATTTTATATATACAGTCAGAACTCGTTATAACGAACTCTTGATATAACGATCACTTAATGAATTCTCGTTTAAACGATTTTTTTTCAAAAATTTTATAATAAACTGGGGATGGTCGTTAAATCAAGTTCTGACTGAACATGTTAGAATTATAAGAAGTCATGATTTCACTTTAATTATTGGAGATGAAGCTTTTTACAAAGTTGTTGGTCATAATGAAAACTTACTTACCATGAGCCACAATGGACTTTATTGCTGCTAGAACTTAATGTAGCAATTCTACAACGCATTTTATCAAAAGCGTTCTCCAGGTACAAAGTGAAATTGGTCTCAATATTTAAATATTTTTACCAGCTTCAATGACATTATTAGGAGGGATATTAAAGGTCGTGGAAAGTTGGTTGGGTGGTCTTTTCGCGATTAATAAATTCTAAAAATTCTCACGATAACCAGACACTTAATTTAAAAACTATTGCGTACATAAAAGCAAATACTATACTCATTGGCAAAAAATCAAAACAACGCTAATAACGATTAAATAACGATTATACAGTAATTGATGGCATATGTGTGGACGGTTTCTCACTTATAATTTCTCGAATGTTAATTGTTAAAAGCTTTTTTACCGTTTTTAGTTTATGATTTATTAGATCAAAGATGTTCTTATGATTTGCATAATCGGATTTGAACAGAAAAGGTTTAAATTTATTTTGATGTTTCAAAATACAAAAGATAATCGGAACGATAAACATATGTCGGTTGGGATAGTCATTCCCTTTTGATATATCATATTTAATTTTAATGATTACCGTTAACGGTTCTTTGTAGTTGATTTAAAACATGTATGTACACGCCTTTTAACTTAAAATTCCTCTAAGACCTGTTCGAATTATAGGAAGAAAAATAATATCAACTTCTTAGAAAGAGATAAAAAAAAACTTTAAAAAATATGAATTAAAAAAAAGACTAAACCATCCAATTGATTTATAAGGCATACTATCGAAGAATATTAGATTTGATGTTTCACAACGAACAATATATTGAGTTTGCAAAGATTTTTTTCGCGAGTAATCAGGAGGTTAGGTAACCAAATATTAAAGGATCTATAAAAAAAGTAGTGGTATGTATATATAAGAAAATGGTTGATGGAATTTCACGGAAAATTTGAAGATTGCGATACTAATAAAGACATAGAAAAGATAAAAAAATATTATCTTTGCAAACAATGAGAAAAAGCATAGGCAAGATTATGACTTCTGACTTTGCCAATTTTACCAACTTATCAATCAGGACCACCATGCTGTTTATCATTTGAAACCCAACATCGCCGGTTTTATGAGAATAACCTTTTTATTGCTTTTATCGTTAGGAACTTATTGCTTTAACTCCTTCATAAGTTGTATTTGCTGCAACAGTTGCTAGTCTAGATAGGAAAAAAAAAGAATTTATTGAAGTATAACAAAGTCGGAGTTTATAAGCGTATCTATACTTGTTACCCATACTATAGGGTAAAGTCCTAATCCCAAATCCCATTCCTTAAACAAAACTTTAACAAACAATATCATTATAATTATAAGCGCAACTTACTTTATTTCGTATCCGATTACAACGAAAATTAAAATTAATTTTCCACAAATTTATGAATAGCTTCAATCGGATGTGTATCAGATCCTTCCAGCTGAAATATCACCCGATAACTCAGATTATAGCATAAATGAGACGCAAAAAATCGTTGAGATATCAGCATCTTAGGACGCAGTTTTTGGAATGTTAATATGAAATTAAAAGCTACTTTTGAACTATATTATTCACCGCAAATTATTTCTTAGTAATCTCATATCGTAAAGATCATGAGCAAATATTCAAATAACGGTTCCGATTTTAAAATATTAACTTTGATAATGGCAAAATAAATGTACTTGTTTGACTTTCTTACGTCATTTAAGGAATAATTTGCGCTGATCTTTTTGACTCAACCTGTCAGACAAAAGAGTCTGGTGATCTCAACAAAGTTACACAATAAAGTGGCAATAAATCAAAAAATTTTTTTACCCCCTAAAAAATAATTTCATTTTTTAAAAAAAATGTCTGCACAATTTTTTCCCAAGTTAAGCCAAAATTATATTGATATGTTAGATGATGATGAATACTATGATATTACAATTGAAGTTGGAAAAGATCCGAATGTGAAAATATTTCGTGCGCATATGATCATTTTGTGTTACCGTTCTCCGTATTTACGACGAAAGTTGTCTTCTAATAAAAAGGATGATGATGCCCTAGTTCATATCACGTTGCCAAATATTTTACCAGAAAGTTTTCAAATTATTTTGAAGTAAGTATATGCATACTTGAACTGAAGCCAAGCATCTTATCATCATTTTCTTTTGTCATCTTAAAAATGATCATCAATTTTTTTATGATGTAGGTACATTTATGGTGGAATTATTTCATTAAATGAAGATACTTCAGACATTTTGAAATTATTGGTTGCGGCTGAAGAGCTTCTTCTTCGAGAACTAGTTGATTATTTACAATGCTATTTAATTGAAAACAAATCTGATTGGGTAGAACAACATTTTGAGCTCATCTATAGAACAAGTTTTCAATTTAATTCGTTGTCAAAACTTCAAGTATTTTGTACAGATATTATGGCTAAATCACCTGATAAAATATTTCGATCACTTGATTTTACATCACTTTCTGAAAAGTCTTTGATTTCACTTATCAAAAGAGATGAAATACAAATGAAGGAAATTGAAGTTTGGGAACATGTTTTAAGATGGGGACTGGAAAAAAATCCTACACTTTTACCTGATCCTTCAACTTGGTCGGATAATGATTTCAAAATGATGGAGAGTACTTTACAACACTGCTTACCATTTATTAGATTTTTTAGTTTAAATTCAGAAGATTTCCTTGAAAAAGTTCACCCTTATAAAAAGATTTTAGGTTCTCAACTTTATGAAGAATTATTAGCATCTTATTTGAATCCTAACGTTGAACCAAATGTCAATATTTTACTACCTAGGAATCGAAAAAAAAATATTATTAATTCAACAATTGTTAATTTAAATATCGCTTCATTTATTTCAAGATGGATTGATAAAATGGATACTACAAGTAAATTTACTTATACTAGAGAGTTGTATTTACCATACAAATTTAAATTATTATTAAGAGGAAGCAGAGATGGATTCAATCCTGATAAGTTTCATGAATTATGTGATAATATACCTGACACAGTTACATTCGTCAAAGTAAAAGAGACAGATGAAATCCTTGGTGGATATAATCCTTTAATGTGGGATAAATCAAATGAATATGGATTAACCAAAGATAGTTTTATATTTTCCTTTAAGAATAAGGATAACCTTAAAGATCTAACTTTAAGCCGTGTAGATAATATAAACAAAGCAATATATCGTTCTAATAAATGTGGCCCATCATTTGGTGGTGGAGATCTTCGAATATCAAATAAAATTAGTAAAGATACAATTCATAATTGTTGCAGCCTTAAAAGTTATGAAAAAAGGATAAGTAAAAATAAAGAATTTTCTATAGAAGATTATGAAGTATATCAAATTATAAAAGAATTTAGATTTAGTAATAATTTTTTTCGAAATATATTGGGAAATCTTTTAATTGATGATTAAAAAATGCTATAGCTTGATTCTGTAAAGGTTATTTATTACGCTACATATAAATATATATCTTATATTTTTTCAAAGAATTTTCTACATGAAAACCTTGGTGAATAATTCCTTGGAAATGAATAATTTATAGCAATGTTTTAATTTTATTTATGCGAAAATCATTCTCTTCCGTTTTCGATTAAATAAAGTCTTTTATTTTGAAATAAAATTAACTAATCTTTAAAAAATCTAAGATAAACTTAAATTATCAATTTAAAAACTTTAATAACACTTAAATAAATTGCAGTTAGAGGTTGAATTTTCAAAGAATTACGAGGTTCTGAACTTACACTTGTTGCAAATAAACTAAGTGCAAATTTTTTTTTGAAAAAAAATAATATCTATGAACTCATATTC